ATCTGCAACCTTCTTGCTGTAAGGCGATCGTGCTACCCACTGCCCACTGCGCCCACCAATATTTGTATTATCATATTTATAAAAATACATTTTGGTCATGTCTGTTTAATTCATTAATTTTGTTTTTTTTTTGTTCTGTTACAAAGACAGTATTGTTTATAAATTATAATTAAAATCAAAAGACAACTACCCAACATTCTTGCCAATTGATATATATATATATATATATATATATATATATATATATATAAATATAAAAAAATATAAAAAATATATATATATATATATATATAATATAATAAAAATAAAATGTTATATTTATTTGTTATAATATATATATATATATATATATATATATATATATATATACACACACACACACACATATACTAATGAAATATTGTGTTTTTATAATTATATTTTATTATTTGTATTATGAGAGAGAGAGAGAGAGAGAGAGAGAGAGAGAGAGAGAGAGAGAGAGAGAGAGAGAGAGAGAGAGAGAGAGAGAGAGAGAGAGAGAGGGGTTGCTGTGGTTTGTTTCGGTAGTTCTGGTTAGTAGGCGGGTGTTATATTCTCTGAGTCCGGGACTGCAGCCCGCCGGTATTCCAGGAATGTGTTGATCATGGCGGCCGCAGTGAAGCCCGTGAAGAGCGGACTGCTGGAGCTCCGCGTTACTGTACACCACTGGATTCGTGTGCTCGCCACTCTTACCGGGGACACGTTCACCGTGAGCCCCGGAGAAACCGCCGAGGAGTCCGCCAGCAACTCGCCCGCGCCCGGTGCTGCTGTTAACGGGGATCCGGCGAACCTCAGCGCCTCTCCTGTACCGGACACCATCACCAACGTCAAGAGGACCGTCCGGGTCACCAAACAAGAAGTTGGAGGACTTGGAATAAGTATTAAAGGTACGAAAACGAGTTTACATCGCGCATTAATGTGTGCTTGTTTAACTTCGTGCTCGCCCTGAAGTGTTTGGAAACAGTTATTTTGACTGACGGGTCCTGATTCAGCTCTATATATGGAGAATCGTGTATGAATATTGCATGAAGCGAGCAACATTGTTGGTGTTATATTCGCATATTCAGACTTTCTTCTTAGTAATATGATTTCAGAAAAGTATTGTTTGCAAATTCTAAATAAGGAGTCCATATTAGTAGCCAGTTACTGATTTATATTGAGGTAAAGTTTATTTTATGTTCGCATATTCAAACTTTATACAGTTTAAATTATAATTTAAATGTTTAAATAAATAATTATAAAATAAATAATTAATATTTTTACAGTAATTATAATTTCAAAATACAAAAAAATGGAAAGCAAATTCTAAAATGGGAAATCATATTATCAGCAGTGACTATTAAAGCACAGCATTGTTGACAGTCAATGAAATGGTGCTAATGTTGTTTTGAAGTCATTTTATTTTATTTATTATTTTTTTAGACAATGTTTTTGTGCATGTGCTGATATTGTAGTAGCCTGTTCTTAAAAAGTCATGCTTAATATGCAAATAAAAGATACAATAACTAGTTTACATCGCTTATTAAAGTGTGTTTATTTAACTTATTACTCGCCCTGAAGTGTTTGGAAACAGTTATTTAGACTTATTTAGTTTTATATATGGAGAATCATTTAGTTTAGCTTCTTCAAATGCATTTAAATAAATTTTCTTTATTATTTTCTTTAATCATTGTTTGTTGTGCGTGTGCTGATAGTAGCCTGTTCTTAAACACATGCTTGTTTTACTTAGAAAAAGAAGCTGGTATGTACTGAAACACACAACATTTGGGTAAAGTTGGCTTTATATTCAGACTTTCTACAATTTCAGAAAAAATATTGTTTGCAAATTGTAAATAGTGAAGTCATAATAGTATATTAATAATAATAATATTAACATATTAATGATCATATTAGCAGCCAGTGACTGTCCAAGTACAGCATTGTTGACAGTCAGGGAAATAGTGCTAGTGTTGTTTTGAAGTCATCTTATTTTATTTATAATATTTTTTTAAATAGTTTTGTGCATGTGCTGATGCTGTAATAGCCTGTTCTTAAAAACATGCTTTTGTTACTTAGAAATATAGGCTAAAAGGTACAATAACTAGTTTATATAGCGTATTAATCTGTGTTTATTTAACTTCGTACTCGCCCTGAAGTGATTGGAAATGCTAAAGTTAGGAAAGCTGGTTTTATATTCAGACATTTAGACTTTCTCCTTAATAATATAATTTCAGAAAAGTGCTCTTTCAAATTGTATATAGTGAAATCATATTAGCAGCCAATGAATATCAAAGTACAACATTGTTCACTGAAAATAGTGCTAATGTTGTTTTGAAGTCATGCAAGTCATGCAATATCAGATCGAATATTCAAAGAAGCGTGTGAAACAACATAGGGGCATTTCACTGTTCAAAAGTGAACGAATGTGCGAATATAAAACCAACTTCACCTCTATAGAGATATGGAGAATAATTCATGAATATTTTATAAATCACATCGTGAAGCTTGTGTGAAGTCTCTTTGAACAGATTTATTTTTAGTTATTTTTTGATTTAATTAGTCATTGGTTTTGTGTGCGTGTACTGATATCCTGTTCTTAAAAACATGCTTGTGTTATTTAGAAACTAGTGCTAGTGTTGTTTTGAAGTCATACCTACATGTGATTTCAGGGCGAATGCTCAAACTACCGTGGTAAACAATATCAGCAGCATTAAAATGAAGGAATGTGCGAAAGATAAAACCAGCTTTACCTCACTGTATTAAGCCTCATGTATTGTTGAGGATGTTTTCATCCACCCTGGAGTGATTTTGAGTCTTCATTTGGCCACAGCTTCCTCTGTGTTTCAGCAAATAGGATGAAAATCTTATTTTGACACATATTTTGGGAAAGTGGTTTGAAAATGTAAACTAAATTCAACAATACACTAGTGAAATTGACTAGCCGTTCATTATGTTGGGGGCTGTTTTAGCCCCATTGAACTCCATTATAATCACATTTTTTTGATTGCAAAGGCATGACAGCATATAATCATGCGTTCTTGGTGGTTTTCCTGTTGAGAAGAGGTACATTTACACATTTTTACTGTTGATTATTAGTTGCAGTGCGAAAAAGCTTAGTTTCTAGATAGATTCACAGTTGAAATTATTAGCCCCCTTCAAATTTTATTTTATTTTTTAAAATATTTTCCAAATGATGTTTAATAGAGCAAGGAAACTTTCACAGTATGTGTGATAATATTTTTTCTTCTGGAAAAAGTCTTATTTGGTTTATTTCGGCTGGAATAAAAGCACATTTAAATTTTTTAAAAACCATTTTAGGGACAAAATTATTAGCCCCTTTAGGCTATATTTTTTCAGGTAGTCTACAGCAGTGTTTCTCAACTGGTGGGTCGCGGGAACATTTTCAGCGGGTCGCGGAGTGTGTGGTCAAAAAAACAACAAAAGTTTAATTTTTAACTTATTTTGACTTTTATTTTGAAATGCGTGCACGACAACCCTACCATTTTACATGTGAAATTTAATTTAATTATAGCAAAAAATATGTCAAATTGCAAGTACGACCCCGAATATGTAAAGTATGGATTTACATGACGACTTAAAAAACTTAAAGCCTCAGTGTGTCATCAGTAGTGAGCTGCTCTCACAAGAAAGCACGAAACCTTCCAAATTAAAATGACGTTTAGAAACCAGAAAACATGTTTTATTAACAGTATAGTTCAACTGAAACTTTCCTTACCCTAACCACTGTTTACAGTATTTGTCGTTTTTACTTTGTAATATTTCTATAATTTGATACATTTTGTTAAATGACAGCAGTAAAATATAGTTTATTTGTAAGTCTTGGTGATGTTCTTATGATGTATCTGTCGCTACTTGTGTATGTTAACAAATAAATACAAATTAATTATAATTCACAAAATTTTATTATAGTTCCTAAAAATTTGGGTTGCGGCTTGATGACCATTTAAATATGTGGGTCCCATGGCCAAACCAGTTGAGAACCCCTGGTCTAGAGAACAAACCATCATTATACAATAACTTGCCTAATTACCCTAACCTGCCTAGCTAACCTAATTAACCTAGTTAAACCTTTAAATGTCACTTTAAGCTATATAGAAGTGTCTTGAAGAATATCTAGTCTAATATTATTTACTGTCATCATAACAAAGATAAAATAAATCAGCTATTAGAAATGAGTTATTAAAACTATTATGATTAGAAATGTACTGAAAAAATCTTCTCTCCGTTGGAGAAATTGGGAAAAAAATAAATAAGCGGTCTAATAATTCAGGGGGCTTATAATTCTGACTTCAAGTTCAACTATATACAGTATATGGTTATACAATAACCATATACAGTTATATATATATAACTGTATATGGTTATATGGAATATAGTGCGTGTGTGTGGGCATGTGTGACTGTGTGAGAGAGACTTTTGCACACTTACCTTAATATGAATGAGAAAATAAAAAATGAGCCCCTTAGCTCTCAAAACACTGTAAACTCAGTAAGTGTATTTCTGCACACACTCTGTAATCTGCTGTTTTACTCCATATACTGTAAATGTCAGGAAAGTATTTGCACAAGCCTATATAAAAGGTTAATGCTGCCAACGGATGATCAACAGTAGAAATGAAATGGGAAAGTCAGCAACAATCAAGAATGCATGGTTATATGCTATTTAAAAACTTGTTTTTATATATTTGACCCAAAATTGGGTTGATGCAACACAGCATTTTTTCTTCCTCTCATTAAATCATGAATTATCGGACACTTAAAGTTCTATAATATATCTTTAGTTAAATTAAAACTATAATAATACCATTTTTATTTCATTTAATTTAATCATTAATTTAATCATTAATTTAATTTAATTTAATTTAATTTAATTTTATTTTATTTTATTTTATTTTATTTTATTTTATTTAATTTAATTTAATTTAATTTAATTTAATTTAATTTAATTTAATTTAATTTAATTTAATTTAATTTAATTTAATTTTGTTTTATTTTATTCACCAATTCAACATTTCTAGAAGTTCACCAACAGTTGGGTTAATTGAAAAGTCTATTAAAAAATTTACCCAAAATGGGTTTGTTTATATTTGACCCAATATTGGGTTAACAAAACACATAATTTTTTAATGTGTCCCATCGACCCTGGGTTATTAACATAAAAATACATTCATTTACATACATGCTATAATATACTTTTAGGTAAATTAAACTTGCAAAATGATACCATGGTTTTACTTGCGACTCCATTATTATTATTATTATTATTATTATTATTATTATTATTATTATTATTATTATTATTATTATTATTATTATTATTATTATTATTATTAATTTTATTTTGTATATAATACATATTATGTTTTTTTAGAAAATAAACCAGATTTGAAATGTCCAGCAGTTCATCAACAGTTGGGTTAATGCAATTAAAATGGAATAAAAGAAACATGAACCAAAGATTTGTTTACTGTATATTGAGTTAACAAAACAAAGCATTTATTGTGTGTCCCACTAAATCTTGGATTATTACCACGAAAATACATTGATTTACATATATGCTACATATATGATACCATGATTTTACCTGGTTTAATTTCTGTTATTATTTAAAATAGAAAATACGCCAAATTCACAATATCCAGAAGTTCATCTACAGTTGGGTCAATTAAATTAAAATTTAATAAAAAAAATAACCCAAGATTTGTTTACTGTATATTTTAATTGTGACCAGTTAAGTTGTGAATTACCATGCAAATACATTAATTTCCTTACCACTTTATTATTATTATTATTTTTATTATTATTATCATCAATATTATTATTGTTATCATCATCATCATCATCATCATCATTATTAATATTATTATTATTATTATCATCATCATCAT